CAGATTACATATTATTATCACCATGACGTTCTGCTATTCTAAGATCACAAGGATAGTGTGTACTGTTGAGGATTGGAATTGATTATATAATCAGTTGGTTTCCTTCCATTTTGATATATTAGCATTATGGAATTTTGGTAATGGATCAGAAGTTGCAGTGTAGAATGATGCCCCTTGGTCCTTGTACTGTACTAGTACCAGTTCTTTGAAAGAGTTGTCCAATTTCATCCCACATCCTAAATTTTCTTACCCATCATCCTGCAAGTAAGTCCTCTTGTAGTGCATTGTCCAATTGCCCTTTCGTAAACTCAACTGGGATCTGATCTCACCATCCTTTCATGAAATACCTTTGTGTGAGTGAAGGGGAAACCTTTAATTTCTCTGTAGTTTTTTTTGTCAATTACAATCTGAGTCCCTTACGTTGTGGTTCAGTTAATCACTAAATTCCCTTCACAAACAAAAACAGAAATTGCTGGAAAAACTCAGCAGGTCTGGCAGCATCTGTGGAGAGAAATGAAAGTTAACATTTCGTGTTGAGTGACCCTTCCTCAACTAAATTCGCTGATAGTCCGGGGAAGCCTCATTGCTTAAAGGTAAACCTTTATTTTAATCTTAATTTTGCTTATGAAAATTTGAAATAGAGGCATTTTTTAAAAAAAAAAATTAATCAGTCCAGCTATAACATAATCCCACACTTTTGACCTTCACCATCTGCAATACAATTGACTTCCACTGTACTTTAGATCTACAACTTTTGGTTACCAACACACTTACCAGAGGAAACATGTTCTTCCAACTTGCTCAAGAAGACCCCTAATGATTTTGAATGGTGCTATTGGGTCTCTCCTTAACCTTCTCTGGATTTGAAACTATTTTTTGCATTTACTCTATTTGGTGACTGTATCTCTTTGCAGCTGCCAATGAACTTCAGCCCAATCTTCAAATCTAATGCTTTACAGTCACTTCCCTCTTGGGGCACTCTTGCTCACTTTTTCAGGTAATCTCGAGCACAATGCCTTATAGATCAGTAATATCATCTGTAAATATGGACTTCAATTTATACTCTATCTAGCTGTAATTTGTGCCAGTCACTCATTGTTTTAAGTCTGGTTTATCTTTTGAAGATCAGATAAGGCAAGGACTAATTAAGATTTAATCTCCTTCTCTCCAGTCTTTGTCATAGTGTGTGCCTTTGAGCAAAATTGTTTGTAACATCTATCGTTTTGAAAATGGTCTTCGCTGTGCTTGAGGGGTTGGGGATAGTTTAAAATGTAATAGAAGAGTCTTTGAAAATGGGAAATGGCGATGCCACCAACATTTAGCGAGAGGTTCTTCGGTTCATTTTGTGCTGAGGTATCCGCAGCAACGTTTGCAACGATGGGCCAAAATTAATTGGGATATGTCAGGGTTTCCAAGATTTCAAACTTGTTGAAACATTATTAACAATGGAGGCAGCTTTAGTCAGTGGTTATGTAGAAGGCAAAGATAGGTGTAGGCCATTCAACCCCTCAAGCTTGCTCCAGCAGTCAATATGATCGTGGCTTGTCATTGAGCTCAATACCCTAATCTTGCTCTTATCCCTGTATTCCTTGATCCCTTTAGCCACAAGAGCTTTATTTACCTCTTTCTTGAAAACACAAAATGCTTTGGCCTCAACCACTTTGTGGCAGTGAATTCCACAGGCTCACCACTCACTGGATGAAGAAGTCTCGCCTCATCTCAGTCATAAAATGTTTACCCTTTACCCTTATCCTTAAACTATAAACCGTGGTCCTGGACTCCCACACCATTGGGAACATCCATCTTTCATCTAATCTGTCCAGTCCTGTTAGAGTTTTATAGGTTTTTGTAAGGTCTCCCTTCTAAGCTCCGGTGAGAGAGGTACTGGGTTGGTTATTACATGTGTATGGCTTTCTATAGTTGACCACTCCTGAGAGGACAGCATGTAATCACACTTGTTGTCACACTTGCTTTCTTCCTTTTCTCCTTTCACTGTGAATTTTTCACACTATTTTCTTCTCCTTTTCACCTAAAAGTACTGGCTTGGTTTCAACGGTGCTATTAGCAGGACACCAATCCTTGTCTAAGAAGATCACCCAAACAAAACCGTTCCCTAACCAACATGGAAAATGCTGGAGAAACTCAGCAGGTCTAGCAGCATCTGTGGAGTGAGAAACAAGTTTAAGATTTTGAGCCTGGTATGACTCTACTTCAGAGTTCATGCTTTTGTTCCTTGTTCCCTTGTGAGTTTGGACAGTTAATGTGTGAGCACGGTCTGTCTGTGTGTGGGAGGGTAATCAAAATCTTCACTTACTTTTATCGATGTGAATCTCTAGTGATGTTACTGATTATCATCAACAGCAGGAACCCTGGCTGATTGACTGTCGCATTTCAGATGTTTTGGTTTTGATTTTATTGTCACGTGTATTTTACAGTAAGAATAGAAGAAAGCACGGTGAAAAGCTTTCATTTATCTCCCAAAATGATGCCATTTTGAATAATTTAATAAGAGGGAAAAAAAAAGATAAAGCTTAAAGAGGGTCCATCAGTCCTGAGCCAGTGCATCACACATCGACACCTGTGCTACCATCCCTGCTTTTCCACTGTCTGCACCACATCCAACCAACATCGAAGCTGCTGATCCTCAGGTGCCATCTTTGACACTGGGTTGACTCTCCTTTGCCTCCTGTGCTGGACCAACCAATGTCTCTCACCGCCGGGCCCACCTCATGGATGTCGCTGTGATGCCCTTCTGCTACCGTTTCGTTGGTGCTGGACCCAACCAACCTGTGAGTCGCCAAACGTCAGGTGCCATCTTTGCCGCTCGGCCTACCTCGCCAAGGTTGCCTCTGCCAATGTAACAGCTGCTGATTCCAGGACCCGTGCTTGCTCTGGAAAACTGAGTAGGGGCTCACTCGAGGCCCAGGCTAGGCCCACTCTCCTTGGCGCTGGGCCTGCTTGTGGTCCGTGCCCTGAGCTCCCACCGCCGCTGATGTTGTCCGAGCTCAGGACAAGGTAAGTAATTTTAAAAAAGAAAGAGAGGAGAAAGAAAAGAAAAAGGGAGAGAAAAGCAGTAAGAGTGGACAAGCTCTGGCACAGGAGTCCTACTACACCGCCATCTTGGACCGGAATTTTAATCAACCTGTTCAGAAATGTTAAGTCACCTGCCTGGGACAGCTGGGATATGAACTAGACCATCTGATCCAGAGGTAGGGTCACTACCACTGCGCCGCAAGAGCCTTACAATTTTATTTTGACCTATTATCCTGGGAAGTTTCAGGCTTTTAATGTAACTAACAAGGACATCACTGCTTAATATAGTGAAACTGTTCCCACCCTTAATAAGCTGAGTCATGTGAAAGCATAGTTGATTTATGTAGTCGCTTGGTGATTTAAACAGAAAGAAATGAGAAAAGAGTTAAAGATAAGCATTTTAAGGGCAGGAAGTGCTTGTAGCAGAAATTTAGTTGTACTTCAGAACATGTGAAGGTATTACAAAATCACAGCTTACTCTGATGAACAGAAAATAACGGGTTATAAATGTTAGCAACCTGCCATGTCCTTATGGTTATGATTCAGGATTTTTAACTTTCAAAATACAAACAAGAAGCATTCCTGTGAACAATTTTGGTGCACAACTTTATTGATATAAGTGAATAATTATGATAATTAATTGTTCATTAATACCAGTTCGTTACTGTGTGTAAATTATATTAAATGAAGGAATGCTAACATGGAGTAAACAATATAATTAGGCACACTCGAATTGCCAAGACGCTTCTATGGGCATTTTATAGACATTGTAGATTAGAAATGACCACTTGCGACACATGGATGAACCCTTAAAATTTTCACATGATGTTCTTCTTTAAGCTGTTTTAACTAGACATTCATTTCTGGACAAAGGATATCTCGTAAAGACATTATGTAGAACAGTATGCCACAGGAACAGATTCTTTGGCCCATCATATCTGTGCTGACTGTGATGCCATTCTATTAACTAATCCCATCTATCTATATCTGGTCTTATTCCCTCCATCCCCTGCCTGTTCATGTGTCTGTCTAAATGACTCTTAAATGTTGCCATCATAACTGCTTCTACCACTTCCCCTGGCAATGCTTTCCTGGCACTTACCACCCTCTGTGTAAAAAAAAAAACAAAACTTGCCTTGCACATCTCCTTTAAACTTATGCCCCCCAAGTATTTGACATTTCCACTCTGGGAAAAAGACTTCAACTATCTGCCCTCTCGTAATTTTATATACTTCTATCAGGTCGCCCCTCAGCTTCCAACACTTTAGCAAACACAATCCAAGTTTGTCCAACCTTTCCTCACAGATAATTCACTCCAATCCAGACAATATCCTGGTAGAGACAATACAGTGTGGAGCTGGAGGAACACAGCAAGCCAAGCACCATCAGAGGAGCAGGAAAGTTGACGTTTCTTTAGAAATGGGGTTGACGTTTTGGGTCAGGACCCTTCTTCAGAAATATCCTGGTAGATATATTTTGCTCCATCTCCAAAGCCTCCACATCCTTCCTGTAGTGTGGTGACCAGAACTATACACCATACTCCAAATGTGGCCTAACTGAAGTTTTATACAGCTGCAACATGACTTGCCAATTTTTATACTCAATGCCTTGACCATTGAAGGCAAGCATTCTGCATGCCTTCTCTAGATTTCTAGTTTTATTTCGTTACGGAATCCTTAAAATTGGCAAAGGAGAACAAATTATAATATTGTTGATATACAGTAATGCTGTTGCATTAACAAATTAAAATACACATCAAAACACGTCCAGGTGTCCTGCTAATGTGCAATGCTGTAGAGCAGAGCTGTTGACAGACCGGGAGAATTTAATCATTGCCAATGTTATACTTTACAATGTGTTTAGATGTTCTGAATAAAAAGGCCTTTCCATAGATTCCATAGACAATGTTGCTATTTCACCATGTGCTGATGTGCAGTTAATTTTACTGTTTTCTTTGCATTGACCAGCTGCAGGGAATGCATTTTGCCAAGCAGCCAAGCTGCATCTACAGTTACAAAGCAAACACGATGCTGCCACCAGTTTTGTGGACGCTGGGAATGCGTATAAGAAGGCAGATCCACAAGGTAGGTGACTTTATAATGCAGAACTCCTGCCTGATTTACCTATTCAGGCATTTTGTTCAAACGTATGGGAGAAACAGAATCATATTAACCCTTCTTTAAGCACTTCCATCCCTCTGTCTCTAATTGTTCTCCAGCTCTTGCTATAACTGCTGGGAAGCAACTGGTTTTGCAGCCAGCATGCCCATGCCATGAGCTGCAAAGGAAAGATCTCGGCTATCCTGTTGATCAGAGCAACAAGCATCGCGCACCAAGCATTTACACGGCTTTCCAAACTAGGACTGCACCAGACCATCTGATCTACAAGAGAAGGGAGAACCTGCTGCAATATACACTCAGCTGCAGCAGACGTTCGGAGGGCATGCTGTGCTGAGTCTTGCAATGGAGGCCCTTCTACTTCTAATTTATACTAGCTTTTGGCACGTGAAAGTTTGGCCCTGCAGCCTTGGAATTTGGACTGGGGAGTGTTTAAATTCTGTAATGTAGCAGCTTTGGAGAGAGGTATTTATTCTTTTACAGCATTTGTTTGTCTCTGACAAGGCCAGCAATTCTTGCCTGTCCCTAATTGCCCTTAAATTGATTAGCATACAAGAGTCAACCACATTTTTGTGGGTCTAGTCCAGACTAAGTAAGAATGGCAGATTTTCCTCATTGGATCATACAGCTTGTAAGAGGCCCTTCAGCCTATCATGTCTGTGCCAACCTATCTCTGCTAAACCCACTTTCCAGCGCTTGTCCCATGGCCTTGAATGTTATGACATTTCAAGTGCTCATCCACATACATTTTACCTGTTGTGAGATTTCCAGCCTCTATCACTGACCCAGGCAGCGCATTCCAGATTCCTGCCACCCTCTGGGTGCAAATCATTTTCATGAAATCTCCTGTGAGCCTCCTGCCTTTCACCTTAAAATTATGTCCCCTCCCTTGATATCAATTCCTCACGTAACAGGAACAGCTGCTTCCTATCTACCCTGTCCGTGCTCCCGCATACACCTCTATCAAAGTCCCCCCTCAGCCTTCTCTGCTCCAAAGACAACAAACTGCATCTATCCAGATAACAAGGTGTCGAGCTGGATGAACACAGCAGGCCAAGCAGCATCAGAGGAGCAGGAAAGCTGACGTTTCGGGCCTAAACCCTTCTTCATTTT